ATCACTCTTGGTCTCTGAACAGAAGCCTCAAGCTCCTGCTGTCCTGACATCCCCATATGACAGGCTCCACCCTCGAGTTGAGACCTTCCTTGTTTTCATCAGGCATCTGGTCACAGCAATGGGACATGTAACTAGTACACCCTGTGAGGTCATTCAGTGCTTCCGGAAGGCAATGCCAAGATTTATATATAGCAACAGTGTTTAATGTGTTAACAGTTGGGTTCTAAAAATCTCAGGGATGATGTATGTAACTGGAGATAGACATAGATAACCAAGGATCATAACCGAGGCCTTTTCCATGATAGATGAATGATTTACCACTGAGCCATATCTTCAAATCCAAATAAGGACCTTTTTTGTTTTTTATTTTTGATTTTGTTTGTATGGGTGTTTCACCTACATGTACGTCTGTGCATCATGAAGTGTCCAGGAAGATAGAAAAAGGAGTCAGAACCCCTGGGACTACAGTTACAGTGAGTTGTCAGCTGCCTTATGGGTGTTAGGAATACAAGCCCTGGTCCTCTGGAAGCAGCCAGTGCTTTTAACTGCTGAGCCATCTCTCCAGCCCCTCATAAGAACCATTTCTAAAATTCTTTCTTGTGTCAAGAAATGAGATGCCTGGTTCTGTGTTTTGTACTTCATCCCAGATGCTAGTCGGAGTCAGTGCTTCATTCCATACTCCAGGAAAGTCATTTGTTCAGATTGAGCATCTTAAGCATTTCACTCATATTTCTGTGATGAACAAGATAAGACTGAAATCAATTTTTAATAATCTAATTTTCGACAACCCAAGGCTCTGCTCATCTCATCTGTGCCTAGAAGCCTTGCTGAAGTGGTAAGGCAGCTGGCCCGTCTGTTTACCCACTGCCTGGAAGCCCTGTTCTGTTCTCACATCGCACAGACACATGGCACACACGGTCCTCCTCCGAGGCTTGCCTTCCGTCCTCGTCAATTCTGAGGCTCACTCTGTGGAGGTGTTGCCTTCAGTTGTGTCGTCCCTGCTTTCTGCATTCAAACTTGGATCAAATGGTGCTGGGTTCCACAGACAGATCTCCTAAACGTTCAGACGTGAACAGTTGTGATAACATTTATCTCATTTCTTTGATGAACATTGAACTATGAACTTAAGAAGGAGAGTCATTGCTTGCCAGGGCCATAACTGGGGTCTCACCCATCCCTCCAGTCATCTTACTAATTAAATACCACCTAGTTAATATCTGAATTTGGCAAACTGGCTGCTGAGTTATGATTTGTGAGTGGCAAATTCTCACTTTAAATTGGTAAAATGGCTCAGTGGTTAGAGTGCTTGCTGCCACGCCTCATGACCGGAGTCTGGTCCCCTGGATCCACACAGTGGAAGGAGAGAAAGGAATAGTGTGGCCTCCATATTAATGGAATGACTTTTTTAATAAATGAACTTTCACTCTTTAATTTTAATTTCTATTTCAGGTGTATGTCTGTGTACTCTGTGTGTGTGTGTGTGTGTGTGTGTGTGTGTGTGTGTGTGTGTGTGTAATACCTACAGAGGACAGAAAAGGAATTCAAATCCTCTGGGACTGGAGTTACAGACTGTTATGAATCTCCATGTGGGTGCTGAAAACTGAACCCAGGTTCTCCGTGAGAGCCAGTTCTTTTAACTGCTGATCCATTTCTCCAGCCCCAGCTTAGTGTTTACCACACATCTAGACTTCAATTACTTTTACTTTACTTGAAAATAATTATACCATATCATGTATGTCATATTAGATAATAAAAAACATCAAACAGAAAACAAAACTCAGACTCAAGACGTATATATTTATGAAGCAGGTATTTATAATTCAGCGTTTAATAGTTTAATTTTTATCTGCTTAGATTTAATATATTTGAAGTAAAAAGCCAGAAACTGATTTCAAAGTAATATTTTTCAATTATTGTAGTACTTAAATTAAATTATATAAACATTTTCTCTCTATTATACATGACCTTTAGGGGGAATGTCTCGCCATCAAAATCAGAACTCTCTAAGTACTCCTATTTCAAACTGGGACTCAACATAACCACTTGCTCATTGGTTTGTTTGCTTGCTCTCTTTTTTTCTTTCTGTTGTTGTTGTTTTTCATTTTGGAAACTGGGTTGGTTTACTTAGGAGACCAAAAACTCTTAAGCTAGGCCTGTTGCCACTCACTGAGACCCCAGCTGTGTGGCTCTGGGAAGGACAGCAATTTGAGGGCAGCCTGGGCTACAGAGGGAGGTGGGAAGACTATCTCAAAACAGGAAAACAAAACTTTATAAGCAGAAAGAAGAGAAGAATTAGGGAAAAATTGGAGAAAGAGAAAAGTGAAGTCTTAGAGACAGTAAGTGATATAAACATACGATAATCCAACAGAGAAACTAATTATTTCAAAACATACTTTGGAGTCAATAGAGAGTTGTTTGTTGTTTATTTTGGTTTTGCTCAGCTTCCCAAGTGGCTAGGTGAAAGGCCTGTGCAACCACACCCAGCCTGTAAAATATTTTTTCTACGGACTCCAAGGCACTTAGAACAATTAATTATAATAAAAACAATGTCCTCAATGTCCCACTCCAAACCTTAGCAACATAATTTAAATTTCTAATTGCCAGAGTATTATTATGAGTTCGCTTTAATTATCAACTTGACACAACCTGGGAAAAGAATCTTAAAGGGGAATTATCTAGAGCTAGGTGGCCTGTGGGCATATCTGTGAGGGACTGGTTTGATTGTGACTTGATGTGGGAAGAGCCAACCTACTATGGGCAGTACCATTCCCTAGGCCGGCGGGGGGGGGTGTCCTACTATGGGCAATAACATTCCCTAGGCGGGGGGGGGGGGTGTTTCTACTATGGGCAATACCATTCTCTAGGCAGGGGGTTCCTACTGTGGATAGTACCATTCCCTAGGCGAGGGGGGTCCTACTATGGGCAATACTATTCCCTAGGCGGGGCGGGGGAGGTCCTACTATGGGCAATATTATTCCCTAGGCGGGGTGGGGGAGGTCCTACTATGGGCAGTACCATGGTCAGGAAACAAAGAAGTAGGCAAGGATGTGTAGATTCTCTCTCTGCTCTTGACTGTAAATGTGATGTGAGTAGCAGACTGAGATCCTGCCTTGACTTCCCCGAATTGGTGGACCGTGACTCGGAACTGTAAATTGAAAAAACCCTTTCTTCCATATCTTGCTTTCTGTCACAGTAAGCAAAACGAAACTAGAGCAGCAACTATAAAGTGATTAGTATATGCATTCAGTCACTATGATTTTTATTCCTTAAAACAAATTTATTTTCATGACATGGCAATCTCTCAAAGAATGTAATGTCAAACGAACATAAAATATGCAGATTTCTATGTGTAAGTAATAAGCTAACTAAACCATTACAATGACTTTGAACTCTTTGTCACAAAAATGCATTGGGTGCATTTTTTATAAATCGAGATAATAAATAATAGATTGGGTCTAAAAGTAATTTGTATTTTTGCTGAGCTATCTACTCCCAAAATATCTGGATTCCAAGTCCCTAATACATTACACTACAAATTTAGTTCCCAACTCTAACTCATTCGTGTTAGAGGTAGGACCCTGTACCCTTGTGTTTCCCGTCAACATTTTGTCTTTTCTTCTCATCAAGCACAGAAAAAGAAGAGAGATTTGTCAATGTTTTGCTGTATCCACTTGGGATGCCAACCACTCTAATTTATTAAATTATGAAATTTCCATTCAATAGAGGTAAACTTTTCTCTAAGTTCTGGAAGAAGCAATCTTATAAAGGCCCTGACAATAATCATGCATGCTTTGTTCTGAGTAGGACATATTTTTCAGCCAGTAAACCATGCTATCATTTACTACAGTGATATAGCAGGCAGGCAGTTTTGAGACCTTGTTTGACTGAGAAACTGGTAAATTCTGGTTTTGTTGTCTTTTTCTGATGTCATGATGGGAATACAGAAAGATGACAATCTCTCTAACTAGGTACGCTTAAGATTTAAGTTCTTACATATTCTACTTAAGTAAGAGATCTTAATAATATCACTAAGAGATGGGTGAATGGCTCAGTCAGTGACCGGTTTGCACGTTAGGAGTGCTAGCACCAAGGTTAAAGGTCAGGTGCAAGATCATTCCTGTGATCCCAGTGCTGGGTAAATGGAATCCGAAGGATGCCTAGGGCTTATCTGTGAGTCTGCCATGTCCAAATTTAGAGAAAAAGACTATAATAGAGAGTGATTGAAGTTGACACCCAACTTGGCCTGCACACACACACACACACACACACACACACACACACACACACACACAAAATGGGTGTTTTGTGACTCAATAAATCCTTTATGCTGAAATCCAACATATGAAAACCAGTTATCAATTTTCCAACCACCCCCTTTAGCTGTGTGACCCTAGAAACAGAGGTTCCAACGATACCCGTCCATTGGCAGTGCTCATGCACTAATTTAATTACTTTATATTTGTTTATCTACATATAACCTTTGGAAACGCCTTCTCAGCCTTAGCTAATGGAGGAGCCACCATTCCCCACATCCTAGTGTTTGCTATTCTGTTTATCTTAAATCCGTGTTGATTGATTGATTTTAAAACCAACTGAACAGTGTTTTACAAGGCAGTTCTATTGAACTGCTATGTTTGTAGAGAGACTCTTAGTTCTTGCACCTACTGTGAATAAGTCCCAATTCCATTCTCTTTGGTCCCAAGTAGATCTGCTGGATTTGTTTAATTTGCAACGGAAAGAGGAAAATTGCTAAGGGCATAGTTTCCAAAAATGTGTTCCTTTGTCAGATGTTAATGGATGTTATTTTTAGGGTTCCATAGTCCAATGAGCTTCTGAAATAAAAATTAAAATTAATTAAAACAGATTTTTTTTATGGAGAGACTGCTTAGGAAATTTAATATGCTAATAAGCCATTATAAATCCCTGAGGGTGACACTGTGTGTGGTTTCCTACCTAAAGATCATAAAACCATGATTTCAGAGAACAGTTTACATGACTGGTTCTTTATCGAACACTTTGTGGGAAATACTGAGCTTGAACAGGATGGAAAAGAATATTAAGTATAAATATTGGGTAAGAAATAAGGAGAGAAACACAAGGTAGCAAAGGTGAGATATGGAATTGAAAGATGACACGTGTCAGATGTCACCATTGTGCTACCATGACAATGGAGTCCCTGTTAGCAGTTAGCAACCAGAATGTTTACTTTTGATCATATGCCATAGGATTGCTGGGGGCACTGTTCCAGGATGTCTTCATTCAGAGATGCACCTGGAAGGGTTGCCACCATCTGGAATATCACAGGTCACTATGGAGTAGGAAAGGACACTGGATTATGAAAAGCTTCTACCTCGAGTTAAAATGTACCACTTGTGAGATCCATTCATCAGAGCGAATTGCTTGGTCATATCTAGAAGGATGTGGGAAACTCTAACATGACTCAGTTCCAGGAAGACAAGAGAACATGAATATTACTCATGACTGTGTAGAGGAGTGAAGAAAGCTATCTACCCCAGGTCTTCCTTCATCTCACTAGCCAGTGACATTGTCGCAAGGTGAGGAGACAGGGCCTTAACCTCACTCAGACCATCCTGGTGGTCAATTTCAGTATCAGAAGCTTCCAGAAGTAAAGACTGCTGCACAATCTCCTCGCACCCCAACCCCCTACCTTTACCTCTCTTCCATAAGAGCTCATTCCCAGAGTACTTACTAAAGAGCCTTCCATGAGGTAATTTCTCAGAGCCTGCTTTCGGGGACACTCAGTTGTAGCAGACAGCAAATGTCCTAGAGTAATAAAAAAGCCTTGTGTCATAATATACATTCCACAGTTGGCTTTTGTCCTTTCCTTTGGGTGATGTTTGAGGTTTGTTTTGACTCATACAGCTCTAATTAGTTTATATCAGCTGAATTGGGAGAAATACCAAGAATTATTTACCTATTATCCTGATATTCATAACTTGGGTTTGTCTCAAATTTTATGGTTTACAAACTTTGCAAGGGTCTTTGCATATGCTGCTTGTTCATAAATGCATGGTTTGTATCTGTGTATATGTGCAAGCATATATACATAAAACAAGAATTGTAGTAAGATAGTTTCTTCAATCTCAATTTTATTAAATGATACAGTTCTCTAAATACTTTTAGAGTTGAATGTAGTGACCAATTATGCTTCTTTTTTTGTGAGTCACCTATTCAAATCATTTCTCATTTTTTCTATTGAATTTTCAATCCTTTGTTTATTTCATTTAAAATATATACTCTAGTTACCATTGTCAGATACACACATATGTCTAAGAAATTTGAAACCAGTTTGTGACTTGCTGTTGAACTCCGATATCCTTTTTATAAATAAACTTTAAATTTTCGTACCATCAAACTTATCTATCTTTTCTTCCTATAGTATCTGCACTTCTGTGTTACTTAGAAAAATTTCTTCCTACTCCAAGCTTTGAAAATATTTGGTACTTTCCTTGAGAATTTTTTTGCATTTGAGTTATTAATTTACCCAGAATCTGTATTTATTTTCATGTGAGACACAGTAGATCAACTTTTTAACACACCAGCTAATGGCTCCAGGATCTTTTTTACAGAATTCATGCCCCGGGCTAATCTGTTGTGTGTGCCTTTTTTGTTGTTTTGGTTTGGGTTTTGTGTTTGCTTGTTTTGTCTGTCTGTGTACTACCAGCTCCTCGGATTCCTTAAGAAGGCTTCACAGTAAGTCTTGATAACCTGAAAAAGCAAGTCCTTTCCCCCTTTTCCTCTGTAAAATCACCTTGGCTTCTCTCAACTTTTTCTTCCTTGTAAATGTTGGAATCTTGTTAATTTGGAGCTCATTTATACCTCTGTAGTTTTGAGCATTTCCATTAGTAAACCTGACATGTCCCTGGAGATATTCCTTTTAACCTTTTCCTGTCCATGCCTCACTCTTCAGTGTCACAATAACCCAGTAGCACGGGAATGAATGTCTGAGCCTATGCATATGCCTTGCTCTCCATTTTCCCTTCCCGTATAGATTGATTGAATGTGACCCAAATGTGATTTGAAATGAGTGTGGTGCTTTAAGGATGACTGATGCCAACTCATGGAACAAGTAGTAACATTTTCAATAAACAGAATGGCTGCGGAACTCAACTGAGGAAGTGCAGATATTAGATTTAAGAGAGTTATGAAAAACTCCTAAACATTGCATGGCAAAACAAAGGAGAAAAGAATAACCCTCACTACTAGGAATAACGGAAGCTGGCAGACATATTTACTCATGTATTCAATATTCATGTAGGATCTACTGTTTCCCAAGCCATGTTCTGGCCTTGGGAAAGAGCAACAAACTAAACAAAGCCTATAACCTTTGTGAATGCAACCATCTAAGGGACATTTTGCACATGGAGTGACCACTAAGCACCCACTATATAAGAATGTCAAATTACTGCTTTGGTCCTCCAGCTACTCATGAGCAGACTGACCACCATAAAGTCAGCCAGAGAGCAACAGTCAATATTGCATGCCACAGTATTGTTTGACATATAAATATTGTGCTCTGCATATGTATATATACATAAACATACTTGTCTAGCTGTATAAGATCTGTTAAAACATAACTGCAGATTGCAAATCAGAACAGGATCCCAAGAGGAGCTAAAGGATCTACTGGAATATGAGAAAAGCAAAATTTGTACGTAGAAATAGTGGGATGGTAGCCAGAGATAATAACTACTTCTATCTAGGCAGTGGGCGGAGACACTCAGTGTACTCACCTACAAGAAGAGCCTCAGCATCCCTGGAAAGAGAATCATGTTAGTAAGCGAGGTTTGCTTGGATAAATCAAATGAAGTCAGGTAATGTTGGAATCTGGCAGCCAGCAGAAGAGTTTGGAAGGCTCTTCCTCTCCCCTCTTCCCACCCTGCCTCCTCCTCTCCCCGACAATCTCTCTGAACTGTTTGATTAAAGTCAAGTTGACAGTCACACTGCCAGCATGGAGAGGAGAGGCATGGGGAAGTGTGGAAGGAGGGATTAGAAAAGTGACTTTTCAGCTGGAGTCAGGAAAGGGTTTGCAACACACACACGAGAAACTGGGTCTAAGTTCTATTTCTAGAATCATAAAGGCTAGCGCCTGGGTGGCAGAAGCAGGCAGATCTCTGTAGCCTGGATGCTAACCAGCCTAGCCCATTCGGCAAATATAGGTCAAATGAGTGACCCTACTTAGAACAAGGTGGACAGCATCTAAGGAATGACACGTGATGTTGACCTCAAGCATATATGCACATGGGCACACCCACCAACGTGTGTATACATACACAATCCTAAACTAATAAGCACTCGTGACCTCCATATGCACTGAGCCCTCCTGCTCCTTAGCCCAAATCCCCAACTTCAAACCTGAGTAGATCCCAAAGCCCTTTCCATGCTTCTTGCAAACAGAAGGGTCAGGACTTTCCCGTCTCTGCCGCATCTGCATGCAGAGTGTTGCCTGTCTTTCTTGTTGACTCTATATACCCAAACTCTCTCTCTCTATCCATTGCGTTGATTTTGTGCATGCTCCCCAGGCATTGCTCATGTTTGTTTTCTTTGCTCCCCAGAAGGATTGGGAACATGGGAAAGGATCACAGTCTCCTCACTCCAGGGGCTGCTTAGCCCTTCCTCTCCCCCTCCTCTGCTCCTCACATCTCCTTTTCTTGACTGCTTGCAAGAGTTTCACATTTTTCCATGTTTCCTTTTTTATGTGGATAAAATTCAATTCTCCCTCACTACTTGCCCCTAGCCATCATAGCCAAACAAATTAAAATTGCTTTTAAACAAAGAAGATATAGTTTCTTAAAGGCAGATCTTTGTAAGTAAATAAAGAGAAGGAGAAGAAGGGGAGGAGGATCCATTCTCTTACCCAGAAAACACAAAACAGAGCAAACCAAGGGAGAAAATCAACACATTTCAACAGTATGGGAAGAGAAGGGCCACAGCAGGTCAGAAGAGAAAAGGATCAATCAAGAAGGGCTTTAATGGAGAAGACAGATCTCAGACTAGATCCTGGAGAAAGACTGGAATAGGTATTACAAAGAGGGCAAGCAAAAGGTCATCTGAGGTAAGGAGGTAACTAAGAAAATCATCAATGAATAAATGAGGCTGGCATCTGAGAGAGGCTAGTTCTGAGACTTCAGAAGCGAGGCTTATCAGACACCAGGATTCCAACCTCATCCAATAAAAACCCAAAGAAGCTTTGATAATTACACTTCAGGAGGCTGAGCTGCTTTGGGAGAGTGGTCTCAGAAGCAAGGTCAAGGGCTCACATGCCGCCAGGATTTTCCCTGCTTCTAGTCTCTGCTTCCTTGTGCAGTTTGCCTCCATGTCTCCTGGAAGTCCGCCTTCTCTACCTGAGGTGATTCTGCAGTTTCCTGGCTCATCATCCATCATGCAAAAATGTCTTGATTCAGCTCCAAAATCAAACAAACACAAGAGAAATATTTTGTTTTGTTTTTGGGGGTGCTTTGCTTGTTTGTTTTTTGTTTTTGTTGTTTTGGGTTTTTTGTTTTTTGCTTTGTTTCGTTTTTGCTTGCTTATTTGTTTTGTTTTGGGCTTGGTATCAAGGGTCTCTGCCCAGAATCATCACTATGGTTAGGAAGATAAGGCCATGCAAAAAGATGACAGTGGACCACATCAAAAATCATGGCCAGATTTGGTACAAGGATACAACAAGGACTTAAGGAGGAAGAATATGGACTTCACTCTGGACTGAGATGTGTGATACATCAACAAGTCTCATTTGAGGAAAATTACAGATGAAATTCTAAACAGTCTTAGTAAAATACAGAGGAAATAGCCAAAGAGATCAGAGCAATAGCCACGACTAGCTTTAGCTTACCACCAGCAGTAGCTTCCCCAGAGAGAGAGTTTCTTCCTGCCTGACTTGTGTTTTTATTGCCTTTCTGTTCTGCCTTCTCATTGGCTCTAAGCCCAGTCACATGACTTCCTCATCACTCCCTGTCTATACAGACCTCTGGTCTCTATGGTTGGTACTGGAATTAAAGGCTCGTGTCACCACACTTGGCTGTGTCCTTGACCACAAAGAGACTCTGCTTGCCATGTGATCGGATTAAGGGTGTTTGCTACCACCTCTGGACTTCTGCTTAATGGCTCACTATGTGACCTCTGATCTCCAGGCAACTTATTTATTAACATACAAATAAAATACCACATTTCATCACAAATAAAATATCACCACAGAAAATGGCTTTTATCTTTCAGTTAGCAATGTGGGGGTGATGGATTATTCTATGCTTCTGTTTTATTTCCCCATTTTTTAATTTCTTCTGATGTAAGCCATTAGCTATTATTTTATGTGTCCTTTGAAGCCACCTTAAATTCTTTTTAAGAAAATGGAAGTAATTAAAACCAACTACTTAGCAGCTGCCATTAACCAATTACTAAGACAGAGTTCCAATTTTCAAGACGCTTTGAGCTTGGGACTAAAAGATAACATGTGGACAAGTAGCTATTAAAACAGAAAGAAAATGATAAATGTCATTTAAAAGGTACAGATAAAATCCTATGAGTTTATAGTTTGGTTTACGGTAGGAAGCACTATTTTGGGATTGATATCTGAAAGTAGAGTAGAATACATCAAATTAAGATCTGAAGATATGAAATATAGAGCTTTTTAAATAAGGAAGAATGGTTTGAGGCAATGGAATGGAAGAAATAAAGAACACTGCCCTGGAGACAGTGGGTGGGTATCTGAAAGTATGGATCTGGGACAGAAGGGGTCTAAGAATGAGAGAAGCGGACCTCTTTGATTACGCTTGGGTGGTGAGGAAGCAGCAGAAGATGTCAATGAGGCCTGTCTAGAGCTTCCCTGGGAAGACTGTGCGGCAGGGCAGTGGAGAGCAGCTATGACAGAAGGACAGGAGAGGACACACCCTGAGAGGATGGGGTGTGAAGTCGGCCTGGCCCTAGCAGGCCGACCTTACGCAGCGGCGGCAGTGACAAGCGGCTGTCTCTGTCTCTACAGCCCCCAAGTTCCAGACCAGCGGCAGAAATTTGGGGAGAAAAGCTTTTTTGTCTCCTTCTACAGTGATCCTTGCAATTACAAACTGCAACTGAAAGACCTTGGAACTCTAAGGAGCTACATGGACATTGTTTACATCCATGACTCACACATAGTGGAAATCCACAGGGTTTTTTGCCCCCACAGTCCTTTTGGGTGGGAGCTGGTTCCATAAGCTGTTTCCTTTGAATTGAGCAAAGTGTCTATGTGACCCCTGTTTCAAGCTCCACCAGCCCACATGGGAACTCATTCTATTGCTTGATGGTCACGGATTAGCTGCTCACACATGGTGCTGGTGTTTTTGAAAGACTTTCCTGAAGGTTTGGGAAATGGAAGGGGTTTATGTAACAGAAAATAGTTTACATGAGATTTTAGACCTAACTGTTTTATAACACTTCAGCAATCAATGACTAAAGACTTTCAGAGGCCTTTGGCATAGCATCAAGCCTTGCCTCAGCCCTACCCACATTTTCTTCCATAAAAAATACTCCTCCAAGTCTCCCAGGTCTTCCTAGTCCATTACAAAGACAAGTGTCTGTCAATCAAAGGTAACTTTTGCCCATCCCAGAGGTAGCATTATCTGGCAGTGTCTAGTGACATTCAATCGTCACAACTTTGAGGTGTTTTCTACAGGCATCTAGGGAGTTGAAGCCATGAATAAATACTGTTGCCGCTTGTTTAACTGGATTGTCAGCTTCTGGGTTTAGCACCACCATGGAAGCACCTCTGCATATGTCTATGGGAGTGTTTCCAGAAAGGTTTTATTGAGGATGGAGAAGACCGATCCTGAATGTAAGTGGCATCATCTTATGGGCTAGGTTCTTCTACTAAATAAAAAAGGCGGCCAGTTGAGCACCGTCTATTTCTGTCTGTTTCCTTACTTGAGGGTACAGTATGATCAGCAGCTTTCCATGTCAGCTGCTGTGACTTCCCTGCCATTATGGATTATAAATCCTCAAGCCTCACATTGCTTCTGCCAGGGATTTTGTCAGAACAATGAGAAAAGGGAGCTAACACTGCTGCTAGACACTGGTAATCTTAACCATCTACAGAGAACTGAGTCAAAACATACAGAGCTAAAGTTGAGAAGCAATGTTGTTGAATAAATCGTCCTCTCAAGCCTTCATCCTCCCCAGTTCTGTATGTTTTCAATCACTGAGACATTCACTCCATTAATTAAAGGGGATTCCTGCTCCAACAAACATAGAAGCTCAGGCCGCTAAATTCCCTTTCCTAGGAGCTGCCCTTCTGAGGAAACGTTATGGTTTGAAATGCCACATCTCCTCAACACATATAAAGTTCACACCCATACTCAATTCTACTTACTCTGCCAGGAAGAGAAAGAAAGGAAGAATGTAAATAGTGTGGGTGCATCTGTCCCGCGTCCCACTGAAGCATATGCCCCAAAAGTGTGAGAAGGGAGATTCGAATCTGATGTTCCTTCCCTTGGTCTCAGTTCCTGAATTGTTCTCATGGTATGAGCATCTTACCATCCAAGTGTGATTCAAGTGTTTAAAGATACACTTTTCTTTTTCTTTCTTTTTTTTTCTTTTTTCTTTTTTTCTTTTTTCTTTTTTTTTTTTTTTTTTTTTTTTTTTTTTTTTTTTTTTTTTTTGTACAACATGGCCCTGAAATGCAAGCCAACTACTTCATCAGGTATTTAGCTGAAAAAACAGCAATCTGTTCCAATGCCCGAGAAAAAACTGGCTGAGCTATATGATATAACAGCCTCAAATGTGATG